TGTTCACTTTATTTGATACTTTGGTCATAGTCTGGTTAATCTTGATTGGTTACTTTTGCTCATAGTTTTCACAGCCTTGTTTTTGAACAATGTCTGCCGTCCACTCCTTTTCAGTGTTTTTTTGTTGAAATAAACTCCTGGAACCAACCGTCTCCGCACCTGAGTCCTCCCTTAAGATCCACCCTCCCTGACACTCTGTAAAGACTACAGCTGTAACAAACGTATCCAAGTCTTCAAGGGGAACTGGCCCAGGTCCAGACTGAGGAGACTTAATCAGCCTTCTGCCTTTCCCCCCCCTTTTTTCCTACCCATCACTTTCCCCCGGGGCCAGTTTAAACAAAGCACACATCACCGTCAGACTGGGACCCGAACACGAGCAGTAAGCAAAGAGGAGTGTGTGTGGGGGTGTGTGTGTGTGTGTGTGTGTGTGTGAGGCCAGGCAACAGGGGGTTCCAATCTCTGTCCCCCTGCTGACCGGTTCTGGGCTGGGAGTGGACTGTCCAGCACCTGGAGGGCCTTTTGTTTTTCTTGTTGTCACACCTGGGGGATTTTTGGTGTTCTTTCTTGTCATTTCCTGTTTTATTTTGATAGGTAACTCTCCTCTGGTTTCAGTTCCCTGTGTGTCACCTGTCTGAGTGTCCCCCCTGGTCCCTGATTGGTTCCCCTGGGGTTCCCCTCATGTGTTAAACAGTCTGGGACCAGTGGGTTTCGTCTTTTGACTTTACAGCCCTTGACTTTGTTCTGGTCTTGAATCCCTCCTTGCTAATCCTCTTTAATGAGTTTATTTTGCCTTTTGCATCCTCGTTATAAAGCGTCATTATTTTGTACTTTGGCCAGTTTTGTGCCTTTCTGCCTCGCAAGAGAGATTCTTATTGTCTTCTTTTCAGAGGGATTGTTATTTTTTACTTTTGCCTTGTCCTCCACTACCTGCAAGTGTGCCTTTGTTTCCAGTAAAATCCTTTTTTTTTATTTTTTTAACTAAGATCTCTGCAACTGAGTCCTGTTTGAGTCCTAAGTCTGGCACATTCCCCCTATGCAGGGCCCTGCATTTGACACTGCCCCTCTCCTCCCCACCGAAGGCAGTTTGGGACAGATTCAATGCAAATGTCACGTCTGGGGGAATGTCTGGTGTGTCGTCATGTCTTGATTACCTACGTGTACACCTGGGGTTCCCCTCCCTCATGTGTTTAAATAGTCCTCGTTTCCCATGTCCTGTGCCAGTGCGTTTTTGTTTTTGCGAGTTTTTCGTCACCCCTCGCCACGTCAGGTTTGATTTTTGTCACAGCCATGCCATAGCCTAGTTTACTTTATTGCCATAGCCTTTTTTTTTCCACAGCCATGTTAATCTTGTTTGTACTTTGCCATAGCCATGTTTTTTGTCACAGCCATGTTTTTGTCACAGCCATGTTTTTTCACAGTCATGTTAATCTTGCTTTGTTACCTAGTCCATAGTTTTCTCACAGCCTTGTTTTGAACTTTGCCCGCATCCACTCCGTTTGAGTGCGTTTTTGTTCAAATAAACCCGCGTTTCTGAATCTCCGCGACTGAGTACTCCCTCAAGACCCACCTCCGTGACATCAAAACCATCAGGTGGCAGGGAGGGTTAGGGCCCTGCCTGATGTGGTTACTAGTGGATGGGAGAGTGGGAGTTATGAAGCTTCTCATCTATTTAAAAGCACAGACAGAAAACAGGCCTGAAAAGAGCTGCTGTCTGTTGGCAAAGGGCCCCATTTTTATCTCATGATCTGTAAAACAAAAACAACTGCAGTTGTATGAAAATTAAATAAAAGTAAAAACCAATGTAATCAAAAAATATCCACATATTCAAGGCATAATCTTAACAAGTCTCCAATTGTTTATGCTTAAAACTGTTCCTTCAAATGTTTTCAAACTTTTTATGTAAAGAGAAAAAATATATATATAAATATTAAAATATTTTCAAAAATTGGGAAAAAGATGATAATGAAATTTAGAAAAATTCAAAAATGATGAAGAATGAAAATATATATAAATAGATAAAAATATCCATAATGTCAAAACAACTTAAGCAGGAATCTTAAAAGCTGTAAAAGCTGTTGGATGGTTAGGCTGCATTATTAGGCCCAAATGCTGGGGAATTACTGTCCAATTATAAGTAATATGGTGGTATATTTAGGTTACAGTAGAAGTACTTAAGAATAGCTGTCCACATTCCAAACCTGGGCTGCCCATTCACAGAAAATCCTGAGATCAAACTTAATGTTTAGAGACTGATTTGTGCAGCATGATTTTTGTCTTAAAAAGTCGCTGCTGGTTTTTCTCCCAGGTTCAGTGAACAATTAGGGGGCCTGATCAGGGTGAGCACAGTTAGACGTAAAAGCACTAAATCAAAAGTGGAGACATTTTAAACGATCTTAGCAGACTGATTTCCTGAGCTAAAGGAAATCAGAAGGACTCTAATAAATCTGACCCTGAAATGTGAAGTTTATTTT